TCTTATATATGTGGGCTTGTAATCCAAGATTCCTTATGTTGGACTAAGTCCATGGGGTGACCCATGGATACTCCATGGAGGTTAAAATCCATGGAGCATAAGGAATGGGTAAAGTTATGAGTTACATGGTGTAACCCTAATAGCCACCATATAAAAGAATCCCATGGCTCAAGAAATCGTGCACTAATGTGTGAGTGTGAGGGCTAGACGATTTCAAGGAGTGTTCAAGTTTCTCTCAAGTTATTCCAAGTGTATTTGGTGTTGTGTGAACCATTTGAGGTGTCACACTTGGGGCACTAGGCACTCAAGCTTCATGAAGACATTCTACATCAAAGAGGTATGTATTCTATCTTGTTATATTTATTATTTTGTATGCTAGATTAGGATAATACCTTGGATGTTCATAATTGTATGTATAATAGAGAAAACATAGATCCAAGGTATTTAGGGTTGCATGTACACTTAGGAGTGTTAGAATGCTCATAACCCAACAACTATGTCACTAGACAAGGAATACAGCCTAGCCTAGTCAAGGTGGATGAGTTCATGGAGACCCCATCGCCAAGCACCCTCAGAGATGCCCAAGGCTTGAACGGAAAGCTCACAGCCCTCAGCCGCTTCATTTCGAAATCGGTTGAGAAGGCTATGCCACTCTTTCACGCGCTCAAGGGTTGTATCGAGAAAAATAACTTCCAATGGTCAGCAGCAGCGGAGGCAACACTTCAACAAATCAAAGAGGCCTTGCATAAATTACCCACGCTGGCTAGTCCTATCCTAGGCGAGACATTGCAAATGTACCTCTCGTCTGTTTTGGTCGTGGAAAGAGAAAGAAGGCAGACACCGGTCTACTTTGTTAGCTGGGCATTGCAGGGCCCCGAATTCAATTATCCCACTCTCGAAAAACTAGTGCTCGCACTCATCTATGTCGCACGGCGCCTGAGGCGCTACTTTCAGACGCACCAGATAGAAGTACTAACAAACTGTCCAATCAAGCAAATACTGCTCAAGCCAGAGACCTCTGGACGGCTCGCAAAATGGGCAATCGAACTGGACGAGTGCGACATTAACTACCGTCCACGAACGAGCATCAAAGGGCAGACGCTTGCAGATTTCCTGCTCAAAATCCCTGGGGGAGGGGAAGACAGGAACCATGAAGGAATACCAGCAACAGGGAAATCACCAAATCATAGCCGGATATGGACTTTATACACGGATGGTGCATCTAGCAGGGAAGGCTCAGGAGTGGGCCTAATCTTAACCAGCCCAGAGGGGAAGGAAGTCATTTACGGCCTCCGTTTTGACTTCCATACCTCCAATAATAAAGAAGAATATGAGGCTTTGCTCGTCGGCCTGCGGTTGGCCAAACAAATGGGGGCGGAAGCAGTGGTAGCCCTGACAGACTCAATACTGCCCGCCAACCAAATCAACAGAAGCTTCAAAACAAAAGATAAAAGGATTGAGAAGTATGTCAAGATAGTACAACGGCTTGTCAAGCCCTTTAAAGAGTTTATCATCAAGCAGATACCAAGAAGCGAGAACATAAGGGCAGACGCCTTAAGCAAGTTGGCGTCGACATGCTTTGACCACCTGTCCAATAAGGTCCTAGTGGAGGTGCTCAAAGAAAGAAGCATAGACGAGCAGCAGGTGAAGACCTTGACGACGGCCAAGTGCACATGGATGATCCCTCTGATCGAGTATTTGCAGCACGGTATTTTACCAGACAGCCATGACGAGGCCAAAAAAGTACGCGTTAAAGCACCCTCGTATGCGCTCATGGACGGGGAATTATATCGGAAGGGATTTACGACACCTTGGCTAAAATGTGTAGACAAGGCCAAAGGCAGAGAAGCACTCCAGGAGGCACACGCCGGTCAGGCGGGTGCACACGAAGGAGCGCGCGCTTTGGCAGGAAAGGTGCTTCGCATGGGCATCTACTAGCCAACCACACATCAGGATGCGGCGGAGTTAACAAAAAATGTGTAGAATGGCAGGCGTACTCTCCAGTCCAGGGGAACCATTCGGCTCCCCTGAAAAACATATCCAGCTCATGGCCATTCTACCAATGGGGGATAGACATCGTGGGCCGTTCCCAGAGGCCCCGGGCAAGGTAAAATATTTTATCGTCGTGGTAGATTACTTCACGAAATGGATAGAGGCCGAACCATTGGCATGTATATCGGGGAGTCAGGTGATCAAATTCATGTGGAAAAACATCGTGACCAGATTTGGGATTCCCAAGATACTCATCAACGACAACGGGCTACAGTTCGTTGAGAACCCGTTAAGAGATTGGTGCACCAACAAAGGAATCACGCAGAGGTTTACATCGGTAGCGCACCCTCAAGCGAATGGCCAGACAGGTGTCCAACAAAACGATCGTAAATGGAATCAAGAAGCGTCTTGGGAAAGCTAAGGGCAATTGGGCCGAAGAACTACCAATCGTATTGTGGTCATACAGGACAACACCAAGAGTGGGCACGCAAGAGACTCCATTCAGCATGACATACGACGCAGAGACAATGCTACCAGCGGAACTTACGGTGCGCTCGCTAAGAGCAACCCACTCCGAAGAAGAAACCAACTCCCAGGACTTGAGGATGAGTCTGGACCTCCTCGAAGAACGACGCGAACAATCCAACGTCCAGCAAGCTGCTTACAAACACACTGTCGAAAGGTATTATAACCAGCGGGTCAAGGGAAAAGCTTTCAAAGTAGGAGACCATGTGCTAAGGCGCAACGAAGCAAGTCGGGCCCAACCACAGGGCAAGCTGGGTCCCATTTGGGAAGGACCGTACAAGGTCATCGAAGCCAGTCGCAGTGGTTAGGGGTAGGGATGAGCAACGGGCCGAACCCGGACCGGACCGGCCCGAAGACCGAAAACCCGAAGACCGAAAATCGTGAATTACCTTACCCGAAAACCGGACCGTTTTTAGGTGTAGCGGGTCCGGGTTCGGTCCGGTCCGGTTACGGGTACTAAACCGGGTTTCGGGTTTTGGACCGAATTAGACTTTTGTAGTGTTGTTTACGGTTACGGTCTAATCTTGTTCTTGATACCAAACTGGGTTTCGTATGTTTGTTGTTTACGGTTTCAGGTTTTGTTTGTATGTTACTCTCTAGCATACTATTTCAAATTATAAACTTATTACGTAACATCCATCATTCGTATCTTCTTTGTTGTTTGTACAATTCGACTGAAAAAATACATAAAAGAAGATGAATATAACGGTACACTGCGGGACTCTAATTAGAACACGTGCAAATGATGTGTATGCAAACAAATACAAACGTTATTAAAAAACTACGCTATTTTTATAAAAAAACTGCACTATTTTTATGTAAAAAAATCTGCAGTTAACATCACTATTTTTATAAAAAAAAATTGCCATATTTTTATAAAACAAAACTGCACTATTTTTATAAAAAAAATTGCACTTAACAACATTATTTTTTATTAAAAAATACTGCATTATTTTTTTTAGAACTGCACTATTTTTATTAAAAAAATTTGTACTAGAAAATAACTTTTGGTTTTTTAAGAAAAAAAAGCAAACCATAATGCGATCAAGAGAAGAAGCCGAAATCAAAAAAAATTGACAATATAATGTGATCCACAGGAGAGACCGAATCAATTCAATCGGACAACATTTTTTTTATTTTGGTAATTTTTGCTTACTGTTTGTCGATAAAAAAAAAATATAAATACTTTTGGTTTTCCGGTCCGGTCCGGGTTAAATCCTTTAATTCGGGTACGGTCCGGTCCAAACCCCAAACCCGATTATTGATAAAAACCAAACCCGAAAACCGGCTCATTAATATGATAATCCGGTTCGGTCCGGGTCCGGTCCCGGTTTTTTTCCGGTCCGGTCCGGTCCCACGGGTCGTATGCTCATCCCTAGTTAGGGGTGGCAAAAGTCGACACGACACGAAAAAAATACATGACACGAAACGAAATTGGGACAAAATCGAAATTCGAATTCGTGTTCGTGTCGTGTTCGTGTTGTTTAAAAAAAACTGACGTCGTGTCGTGTCGTGTTCATGTTTGAAATTAGAAACGACAATAACACGACTAAAACACGATATATACACGACTATAACACGGTATTAAAACGAAATGAAACACGACTATAAAACGATACTAAAATGATAATAGCACGATAATTTCATTTTACACTTTATTAAATATTAGATATTTAATAAAAAAATAATAATAGGTATTTAAATTTATGCATTAAACTAATTAAAAAATTAATGATTCATAAGCTAGGGATTTCCATCGGCTTCTTTGAAAACCCAACACTAGAAATTATAATCGGCATTTTCCATTTCCCCATTCTCAATACACAGTAGAACCATAAACCATTGATGGCGGTGTTATTTGCAGACCATACGCAATCGATTCTATTAAAGGATTCTCGAGTTCATTATTGGTTTTTAAATTACAATCTCTCAACCACAAGTCGACAATCGGCAATCGAAAAACCTAAATGCTCTAGTCGTTTCCTGCTCTCACTTCTTAAACACAACCGCTTACTAAACAAATTTCGCTTCTGGTTCAGCTGTTCAGGCAATCGCAATCGACTCGTATACTTGCTTTATTGCTTCTCAACCACAGTCGACGCAAGAAAGGTAATTTTTTTCATGTTCCGTTAGCTTCTTGATTGTTGGATTGATAATTCTTGATTAATTTTGCGACAAGAAGAAACTGTATACATCTTGTCTCTTGATTACTTCTTGTATTACTTCATATTTGCTTCTGAGATACTTGATTTTACTTATACTTCTAGTCTTCTTGATTACTCTGAATTTAGTTATTATTTAAATAAACTTGTTTCGCTTCATATTACAGCTTCTAATATAATAATATCTAAAATTATAATCATGTTCATATAATTTGTACACTCCATATTTTGCTTCTGATTGCTTTCTTAGTTTCATATTACAACTTTCTTCTAAATATTTGTTTCCAATTTTTATTTCAAACAGTTTAATAAGAAATCGACATGAAGAGGGCAAAGCTTGATACAACACATAATAAGAAAAAGGCAAAGCTTGATAAAACAGATACACATTCTGCAGCTGTAGCTCCTCAGGTATTTCATTATTTTTTTAAACTTTTCCCCATCTAAATTATATAATTTCTGAAAACATACCCTCCTTTTTTATTTTAGGATGTTGAACTTGAAGAAGAAGCTGATGACATTGATGTTGTGGAGGTAGATGTTAAAGTAGAGGGTGAAGAAGATCGTGTAAAACTGGAAAGGGAAAGGTGGTCTGAGGTATGGAACTATTATACCAGACTTCCAATTGGTACAGATGGTAGGGAAATGGCTGAATGTGATAAGTGCAAAAAAAGATACATTTGTGAAACAAAAAATGGGACATGTAGCTTGAGAAATCACATTGCAAAGTGTCCAAGAAGGGACAACAGTGACATAGCACAATTCATTTTTGCAAAATCAGGTGGTTCCATTTCAATAAATTCCACAGTTTTTAAACCCGAAAGATTTCGTGAACTTATTAGTGAAGCTATTGTCAAGCACGACCTTCCCTTTAAATTTATAGAGTATGAGGGAATTAGAGATATTTTGCTTCCATGGCTCGAGATATTTTGAGCATCCACGTCTCCACTGTTGCATCCGAATCAGCCTTTAGTAATGGTGGTCATGTTCTTGATCAATATCGAAGTTCGTTGAAACATGAAAATGTTGAAGCTCTAATTTGTGCAAACGATTGGTTGTTTGGGATTAAACGTAATTTGTATTCTTCTTGAAACATTTGTATAAAGTATTTAATGTTTTTTAATATGTTTTTAATATTGTTTGTAGGTGATAAAGAGTTATATTTACAAGATCTTATAGAAGATGTTATGAAGCTGGATAGCAATGCCAATGGTACACATGAAGAAATGGAGTCACAAGCTTGAAGACATTTAGCAATATTTAATGACGTTTTATGTTATTTTCTGTCACTAAATGGGTATTTATTATGTTTAATTTAACTTTTTTGCAAGAACTATGAATGACATTATGGAATTGTATTTTTTTTTTTGGTAAATTATTTCGTGTTATCGGTTTTTTCGTGTTTTTTATTTTTTCGTGTTCGTGTTAACGAAAATAAACACGACATCGTATCGTGTCGTGTTCAGGTTGAGGGAAAATAATTTGTGTCGTGTTGTGTTAAATAAAAACACGGAACGACTGCCCGATTTGCCACCCCTAGCAGTGGTGCATATACACTAGAAACGATGGACGGAAGACAGATTTCGAGGACCTGGAATGTGAGAAACCTGAAGAAGTTCTACTTCTAGCACGCCCCCAAGCTGATCACTTAAAGGAAACGGCTAATGCCAAAGACTCAGAGCGCTTGGGCAGATGACTTTATCTTTTATTCAATATAGTGTGGGGTCGAGCACATTTTTCCCCTACTTCAAAATACCCAGTGTATTGAAAACAGGAGTCCTATCTATAATACTTAGCGTATTAACTCCAAAATGTTCAGTTTCCTATTTTTAATACTCAGTGTATTAATTCTAAAATACTTAGTGTATTGAAAACAAATGTTCCTTCCATAATAGTCATCGTATTAAGCCCAAAGGCTCAACGCATTAGGATAAGCTCTATCCATAGTACTCAGTGTATCGAATACTCGGTGTATTTGCATGGCTCAGAACAGGCCACAAAGGTTTAAATATTCAAAATGCTTATGCAATGGAAATAATAAACATATCCATGCGGCTTAGAGCCATGATTGATATAACATGCATGGAAGTAACCACAAACGAAATAGACTACATGGAAAATTAAATACATAAGAAGCTATTACAAAAGCAAGGCCTACGAGGCCCACATTAACAAACTATCCATCAGCAAAACAAAAAGTTACAAAGCTTCAAAGTTTTTTCACACCCCAGAGGGACAGCACACGATACAGAGTACCTCAAGAAACAGCAGGACCAACACCACTAGCACCATCCTTCAATCTCGGATCACCAGCGTCAGAACTGACACTACCACCCACGTTCTTGCCATTATCACCACCGCCATCACCATCATTAACACCAACATTACCACTGGCACCCTCGCCGCCATGACCGTCAATTAGCATACCCTCAGGGTCTCCTCAACGCTGTCAAAAGCACAAAACTCTCGGACGCCCTGCATGTCCAAGTCTCCCAAACCTAGCAGAGACGCATGATCCATACTGGCAAAAGCAAGAAGGGATTCGTTCACACTTAAAGTAGGGCCCGATCGGGAGTCACTAGCACTGGGATTGTGGGAACTAGAACCCATTTCAGACATCAAGTTTCTACGACTAGACTCCTCCCCAACAACAAAAGCAGCGTGGCGAATGAGACTCACGGCGCCGGTGAACTCCGGATGCTTGATCAACTTGTCTACAATTCGGACAACGCTCACGCGTAGAAACCAATCACTGGGCGACCTCAGCGTCCGCATGGACAATAGCAACCAACTTATCATGGTCGACAACATCATGCTCAAGACTTTCATTCTGGATCATCAATCCCTCATTATTTGTGTTTGAGAATCCACTTTGCTCTCCAGGGCAGATCGAACCTCTTCCGTAGCGGTCTTTTCAACAGCAAGCAACATGCATTTCTGTTCCAAACCCTGGACATCGTTTTCAAGTTCAGAGATTCGACACCTCAAACCATCCTCACGGGCGCTACACCTTGAATGAGCAACCTCCATTTTGTTGAGTGATTGAATCCGGCGGGCACTTGTAACCAGGTAAAACAAGGGTTGCGCAACGGCGTAGGACATGTTGTGGGGCAGGGTAGGACTGCCCATGGCTTCCATATCAGAGACGGTAGCAGGTGGAAACGCATGACGGGCGAAATCCACTGCATTGGCACGAACAGATAAACGAGAATCATTGTTGAGACTCCAAGAGGGAACAAATATGTTGGATCTAGAAAAATACCTACAGATTCCCTTGCGAGGAGGGGTCTGGTGCTACTCAATGTTACCATAACCCCTAGGGGGAAAAAGACCAGAAGGAGTTTGAGGAATAGATTGGATAAGAACTTCGGGCTGCTTAGTCGCCCTCTGATTCCCCTCATACTGTTGAACGTCATCATCAGGAATCACAACAATTGCTTCCGGCATCGAAGATATCGAATTCAGGAGACGAGTAAAGTTATGCCTCGACTGAACTCGCTTACCAATGTTAAGCGCACCGGTAACCGCCTCACCCATGGCCAAAATGGCTTTCCTCTTGGCCTGCACACGACGGACGTCCGAGATTATACCATCCTTGCTATCATCAACTACCTCCGTGGAGCCAGAGTAAGCACCAACAGGGGGAGAGATAGTCGAGATAGGGCGGACGGTCAGAAGGGTTTCCTCGACCAACGCCAATGTCCCTTTAGTCACGGGCGGGGTAGGAGTAGTAGCGGTTAAAGTAAGTTGGTCGATACGGCGGGGAGGAGGGAGATTGTCGACCAAGTCTATCTCCCGATGCTCCAGTTTCCCCCGATAGCGTTTCCGCAACACCTCATCCATAGACAATGGGGACTCGACACCTACACAGGCACTAACGCACCAGAAAAGCATGCAACCAAGCACAAAATCATTAACTTGTTAACCTCCTTAAAAAAAGAAGGGGGAAGAGAACGAGAATGTACGATAGAAACACTTACCATCAACAATGGAGGAAAAGACTGCCATCTTCCCCCGTCGCCGCCAGGAGGGGCTCATCCCCACACCAACAAGCAACGCCTCAGAATAGTCCTCGGGGCGACCTAGATACTCTTCAAAAGGTCGGCGATGCCCTGGTTATGAGGAAACAACTTGGGAGTGACGTCGGCAAAGGAATTCACATGGTACTGTCCACTACCCACCAAGTCGTGGTTGACCCACAACCATTTTTCCTGCCAGTTTTTAGGGGTCCTTCCATAAGGGACCAGGGTATGTCCTCCCCTTTGGACAGAAAAAGTACACTTGTCGCCGGTGCAGCAGAACCTGAAGAAATATTTAAAGACAAAGTAATCTGGGAGCAAACCGTTAGCACGACAAATCATCTCGAACGCCACCACCTTATTTATGGCGTTGGGGGTGAGCATATGAACGCTGCATCCAACTTTCTGCAAAACTTCCTCCTGGAAGTCAGTAAGAGGAAGACGTAAACCAGCGTCGAGAGTCTTCAAATAGACCCCCACTTTACCGGGAGGGGGAGACAGAATCGATCAACCGGGCAACGGGAACTCAACGCCGTCCGGTGGAGAAAGGCTATACGTATCTCCAAGAAACTTGAAATCGACTTCAGAAGGGATTGTACCAGATTGACCAGCCATGAGAGGAAAGATAAAAAAAGAACCCCAAAAGGAGGAAAAGAAGAAAGGAGAGGTAGCGAAGGAAAAGGGTGTTAAACATCCGTATAAAAATAGGAAAGGGCGGGATGTTCAAAATCCCTGAAAAAGTGACGTAACCGACAGCCATGATGAGCGGTCACGTCGCCATTAAAATCAAAGCGGCGGATGAACCAAAAATGGACACGTATACAGGGTAGTTGAGTCCAGAACGTTGTAGCTAGCGCAACAACGCTACGACTACCGGACTAGGGGACTTGATAACGTGCCCTATCAAGCATGAAAAGAGCCGCACCCGGCCGCGACAGAATGCCTGAAGGCTTAGCGCGCCCGACAGGATAGACCCAGCGGAGCTTAGCGCCCGCCAGCACCCCTGAGAGCAGGGCGCTCCTGCAGGAAGGATCGCGCTCGCTTAGGGCGCCTCCCGCTCCAAGACAAATGATACGGTCAAGCGACAAGGCAGACTATCAGGGCATTACTGCTAGAACCAATCGCAACGGTCTGACAGATAGAAGAGCACGATCCTCCAATCAGCGCCCCTGATCCTGTCGTCTCTGGTGATCCTGTCTCGTACAGACGATCAGGAGCGCCTAATATAAAAGGCTACACCCACAGCCCCGACAGGTAAGTCACATTCTCCAAGTAATACACACCAAACCCTAGAATACCTAACTGACTTGACCGACGGAGCGTCTTTCCGGGAGCTCCTCCCGGGAAACGGCTGACGGCCTTCTCTTCATTGTGACCTTACAGGAACGACGCAACAATCGTTGCCAGAGCTCGAACAAAACTTGAGATCAAGGTCGCATCAGTGAACATTTTATGACATTTTCTATTTTATTTATACATATGGTTTTTGAAAAAATGATTTTTTTTAATTAAAAAAATACATCTGTTGAAGGCCTTGATTGGGAATATCGACGTTTATAAGCGTGACCTCAATCAAATCCAACCACATGAAATAGCATCCACGCCGCACATGGGTGGTGTGCATGCCGTGTCTTTGTGTCCATTGAATATTATATAGCTTAGGATGTCGTGGAAATCGAATTGTGTTATGTACTTTTTATTTTTTGGGTGACTAGCATTCACTAATAACCATGGCTTTATTATACATGTTGGGTTGACAAGAAAAATCTCAATCCGTTTATAGATGGTTAAGGTGAATTGGAAAAAAATTCAACCAATTTAGTTAAATATATTTAATATGAATAATTTTTTTAACATGTTAAATGAATTGATTGAAGCCAAATCCAATCCATACATGTATCTGTTGGAAAATTTTAGTATCAATATTTATATTTTTACTAACTTTGTACATATATAAATATATACATATGTTTTATATATAATTAACTCTACGTGTGTTTGTGTTCTCCTTCATGAGAACTTCGAAACGATATATTATATGTCCAAAATGGAGTATATGTGAATGAGATATCGATACTCAAAGACGGGTATTTGAGAATAAAGTTAGCAAAAGCGATGAATGTGAGAATGAGTCCCACGTTGGTAGAAGGACCAAACTCAACTAGGTTTATAAGCTTGAATACATGAAAGGCTTAGAAGTTTGTGTCTATGGTTTTACTTCAAGT